ATAAGGAGGTGAGTGGGGACCCGGGGACGGGGGTGCTGCCGGCCCCGAGGATGCGGCAGCGCAGCCGGGTCCCGGCGGGTGCTGGCACCTGGTGACTCTTGGCCGTGGATTTCTCTGCCAGTGGATTCCTGTCACCAAACTCGGTCGCCTGGTCAAGGATATGAAGATCAAGTCTCTTGAGGAGATTTATCTCTTCTCGCTTCCCATCAAGGTGAGTTGCTGTGGACATGGAAATGATGGGACAGGGAGATGCTCCAAGGGGCGGAGCTACGGAGGGGTAGCCGGGGGTGCTTACCTGGGGAAGGGAAGGCTTGGGGAGATCTCAACTTCCAGAGCTTAAAGGGGCTCCAGGAGAGCTGGAGAGGGACAGAAGGGATATTGGGAAGGAATTGTTCCCTGTAAAGGTGGTGAGGCCCTGGCACAGATTCCCAGAGAAGCTGTGGCTGCCTTGGATCCCTGGAAATGTCCAAGGCCAGGCTGGATGGGGCTCGGAGCACTCTGGGATAGTGGAAGATGTTCCTGCTCTTGGGAGGGGGTTGGATTAGCTGAGCTTTGAGGTCCCTGTTAACCCCAACCATTCCAGGATTCCACGATTCCTGTGTGCTCACTGCCTGACTCTTGCAGGAGTCGGAGATCATCGATTTCTTCCTGGGCTCCTCGCTGAAGGATGAGGTGCTGAAGATTATGCCTGTGCAGAAACAAACCCGTGCTGGGCAGCGCACCAGGTTCAAGGTAATCCCGTTTTTCTGGATCCTCCTGTTCACGTCTTCCCACTTACATTTCTAGTGTGATTTTAATCATTCCAAATTCCTTTTACTGTCCCATCTAGTAAATAAATATTTTGCTATGAGGATCATTAGTAATTTGTAAAATGTATTAACTTTAAAATGTCAGTGGTGTGTGCAGATTTTCCTTGAAGTAGCACTGGCCCAAAAGTTGGACTGCAAAACTTTTAAACTTCTTTTTGAGCAAACTCGTCTGACACTGTAAAATTCAGTTGTTTTTGCACAGCAGCGTTGGGTTATCCGGGAGAAGTTTTGGGTATAAAGAGGGAGTGCTGTTGGGAAATCACAGGGAGTTCTGAGCAGTGGGAGGCTGCAGCAGGGAATTGAATCCCAGTGTGTTAAAAACCTTGGCCAGTTCTGTCTGAAGGATGAACTCTGAGGGAAAAATGGGTGTTGAGAACTGTGTGTAGGAAAATGGGTGTTGAGAACTGTGTGTAGGGTTTGGGGCTGAGCTCCTGGAGGGAGCAGTGAAAGCTCTTCTGCCTGCAGGCGTTCGTGGCCATCGGGGACTACAACGGCCACGTGGGGCTGGGGGTGAAGTGCTCCAAGGAGGTGGCCACGGCCATCCGTGGGGCCATCATCCTGGCCAAGCTGTCCATCGTGCCCGTGCGGCGCGGCTACTGGGGCAACAAGATCGGGAAGCCGCACACGGTGCCCTGCAAGGTGAGTGTCCCGTGCCAGCCTGGCCCTGGCGCTGCTCGGGGCTGTGTTCTGGGGCTGACCCGATGTGTCCCCGCAGGTCACCGGGCGCTGTGGCTCCGTGCTGGTGCGCCTGATCCCGGCTCCCCGTGGCACCGGGATCGTGTCCGCCCCGGTCCCCAAGAAGCTGCTGATGATGGCTGGCATCGATGACTGCTACACGTCGGCGCGGGGCTGCACGGCCACCCTCGGCAACTTCGGTGAGCTCTGGGGCCACTTTTGTCACTGATGGCGCCACAGCACCTCCATTGTATGGTGCTTTGTGCCTGCAGCAGTGAAGCAGAAGCCACAACTTCTGCTGCTGGTGCAGGTCAGTCCTGCTGTGGGTTCTGTCAGAGCTCGTTACAGAAACGTGGGGTGTTGTTATGCCTGTCATGGGGTGTTGTTACACCTGTCACCGCTCCTGAATCTCCCAATCTGCGCGATTGCACTTGTGTGCCGTAGTGTAATTGTCGTAACTGGAGAGAGAGAGAAACCTGAGTTTTGTGGGTTCATCAGAGAGGCCTGCCCATGGTCTCCCTGGTCCTTTCAAAATTCCACATTTTTGTAGTGGGGGATATTTTTGAGCTGTGGCTCGGATCAGCGGGCTGGTTCTGCAGCGGTTGACGGGCAGTGTGTGACATCTCTCTGCAGCTAAAGCCACCTTTGATGCCATCTCCAAAACCTACAGCTACCTGACTCCTGACCTCTGGAAAGAGACTGTCTTCACCAAGTCTCCTTACCAGGTAAAAGCATTTTGGTAACTTACAGTTCCAGTCTTACCCTTCCCCTAAAATTATATTTCTGTACTCAGAGATTTGGCAGCTCTAAAGCTGAGCTGCCCCGGTGCACAGCAGGGATGGGAAGTGGTGCTGAGGTGAGAGGGGTTTGAGGGAATAACCCGCTGTTGGTGTTTCTTGCAGGAGTTCACTGATCATCTGGCCAAGACCCACACGAGAGTGTCGGTGCAGAGGACCCAGGCAGCTGCTGTGGCCGCCACCTAAGCGGGTTTTGTACGAGAATAAAGCGATCAGAGAACCAGGAATTGGTGCTTGGTGTGATTGGGGGTTGGTGCTCGGGGCACGTGGGTTAAACCATGGAATGGGTTGGGTTGGAAAGGACCTGGAAGCTCATCAATTCCAGCTCCTGCCACGGGACACTTTACACTACACAGTGCTGCTCCGAGCTCTGTCCAGCCTGGCACTGGGGGCACATCATCCTTGCTCAGCCTGAGGGCATTCAGAGCCAGGGCAGAGCAGCTCACAGACTGTTCTGGTGGCACATGAGGGAGAGGAAAGGGTCCAGAGGGCAAACCCCAATACTGGCAGCCCCAAGTGCCTGGAGCTGAGGGCTCACAGAGCTCTTCAAAGAATAAATACAGATCCCAACTGTACAGATGTCTGTTTATTGTGGAGGCCAGCGGCACCAGAGGTCAGGGAAGCAACATGCACTTGGATACCAGCACCACAGAGGGAGGAATTGTTTCAGCTCTACTGGTTTTCTTGCGCTGCTTTCCTCTCCTCCATCATCCTGTGCTTCTGCTTCATCAGGCACGTCCGTGCATTCCCATGGTAACCCAGCTCACCGTCTGAAAAAGAAAGGAAATGTTTGAGCAGTGCCTCCCACAAGCTTGTGTTCTGTGACTCCCCTGTGTTTAGAACCCTTTCCCTGTGTGCTGCTTCCATACTCACATCTGTCCTGGTAGGCCTTGGTGACCTGTGCCAGCAGCTCCATCTCCTTGGCACAGTTCTGGAACTGGTTGGGTCCTTCCCTCTGCTTGCATGCAGCCATCCTTTCCCGGACTATCTCCACGATTTCCTGATCAACCATCCTGCAGGGAAGATGCAGCAGCCATGAGATGACAAAAGCTGAACCTAGGGATGAGGACACTCCCATGGAATGTCAGCTCTGGGATTTTCAGGGTCCCGGTCCCTAATGCCACCATGCCCAGAGTGCTGCAGGGACAGCAGGACACTGATGTGTAATGGGGTGGGCTGGAGGTGCTGCCCCAGCATTCGCCAAAATACTGAAGGTCCCAAGAGCTGTGTGCTCTGCTGTGACCTCGCCTGGGGACAGTCCAGGGACAGCCATACCTGTCCCTTCTCCACTGAGCCTCGGCCTCATAGTAGCACAGGTAGTCACCCTCCAGGCACTCGCTCAGGTCAGGCACACGGGGGAACTTCTGGTGGTAGTAGTAGAACTTTTTCTTGCTTTGCCACCGCTCGATCAACTCTGCAGGGACAGCCCGGTCACACACCCCGGCCCCAGCTCCAAGGGACAGCCCCAGTGCTGGCACTGCCCGGTGCCACCTTCCCAGGCAGCAGCAGTGGGACCATTCCTGTGTCCAGCTCATGCCCAGCTGTGTGTCTGTCCCTCTGTGCTGTGTCCACGCTGTGGTACTGTGGCCCTGTATCCCCTGCACCTCTCCCAGTGTCCGAGCTGTGTCCCACGTTCCTGTGTCTGTCCTACTATCCAAGCTGTGCTCTTGTCTCTCCCGTGTCCCTATGTCTATGCTGTGTTCTTGTCAATGTCCCCTGTCCCTGTGTCCCAGCGTCCTGACCCTCTGCCCGTGCCGTTAGTGTCAGGACCAGTGTCCCCGTGTCCTTGCGTGTACCCTTTGCCTGTCCAGGTGTCCTCACGCCTTTGCCCCGTGCCCCGGTGTTCCCATCCCGGTGTCCCCGTCCCCGCGTCGCTGCTCAACTCCCACAG